ATTTCTTTAACAATCAACGTACATACATAACTAACTTCATGGCACAAAATCTTCTTTGAAATGTCTGTAATGATTCGGCATGTTTCTTGTTTTAAGAATCTTAAAAATCGAACATAGATTTCATAAAATCCTACAATCGAAACTTACTCTAAGGAATATGAGGCAAATATTTGTGTTCAAACCTCTTAAGATCCATTTTAATGTAGATTAGTCCTAAAATTAACGTAAATATCACTAAATCTGCTAAAATAAAGGAAGTAAATCATTGGTTAATTGTGGAATATATATTCGAGTTTGTTGTTATCCCGTGTTTTTGTATTTTCCGCGTGGTTATATGTTTCTTTATGAAACGAACTTCTAGATAGGTATTAGCCTAGCAAATGAATTGACATGGTGGCCCGATCCTACGACCGCTTACAAAAAAGAAACTCCGTGGCATGTAGTCCGCAAGCGAACTATACCGACCGAGCGACCGCCGCTTGTCGGCGAAGTTAGTGCCAACTTTAGCGGATAGAGAGTACCGCGTGGTCAGAGATTACATCCTTGAATTAACTCCTTTATGTTCCGACTACTGGAGTTGGTGAGAGACATTCCTCACAACACTCGGGTTACACTTACCATTCGGCAAGTGGACCAGGTCACGCTTAATGGAACTGAGCTGTCATAGAACATGTTTTGTTATTACTACAGGAACACACATGAAACCTCTCCAAAGAATGAGCAGCCACTTAGTCCATGGTTCATATTCGTGCCTTCAATGAAACTATATATGTGGACTAAACACGAGTTCTAGTTGTTAAATAAGCTTATAATTTCATCGTATTTTCCACTTAATATAAATATGCAACATCTTCTTAAAACGTTCACCCCACCATTCCTGTTGAGTAACAGAAAATAATACCCACTTATAATTTAGAAACGCCACTCTGCTTTCGAATTATGAACCACTCTAATGTGACGTATAGAGCACTATAACTATTTAGTCCGCGTTTCAGTTTCTTAATCCTGTACACAGTCGGTAAGGCTCCTTGGACGGGGGATCAGCCCGTTGCAAAGTCGCTACCTATACATAGAACAACACAAACAAAATAAACGCCCACAGACATCCATGCCTCGAGTAGGATTCGAATCCACGACGCCAGTGTTTGCGCGGACGAAAACGGTTCATGCCCTAGACGGCGAGGCCACTGTGATCGGCAGAGCACTATAACACAGCGCATATATCTGTCGAAAAGACGGAACAGGTATAGCCATCCAGCTGATGCAGTAAATACTTTGGATGTTCAGAATAACCTAAGGCTGCCTACATCTTTTTTTTTCTAGCATCAAGAAAGAATTACAAGAAAAAATTATTGCCAACGAATCGTCGTAGATATTGCTGCGAGGTTTATTTAGTATTCAACAGGAAATCGGACAATTACTTCCAGTTATCGGACTGATGATTCTATTTCAAAATGTCAGAAGGGCCAGAGAGCATCGCGAGAAAAAATTATGTACTTTATATATTGTTTTATAGCTATCTTGGCATTCTCGCATACAAATTATTAGCACAGGTAGTATTAAAAATAATCAGTGTATATGATTAATACAAAACAGAAATGAGGCAAAGCGCTATTTATTCTGAAAACCATATGCAACCCATAAACATATTCTCTAACAAAAATCCGGCGTTTTAATTCTAAACGTGTAGGAAGGAACATTACAAAGTTAACACTGTGCTCTAAAGATGTAAGCAACAGACTTTTTCTCAGTTCCCAACCTTACAATCTGGTTCCGTACTTCTTCCGGGTAGACGCACATCTTCTGAAATGCAACCAAATAAATAAAGAAAACTCGAAAGGGGGGGGGGGAGACGCGC